CCGACCTCTGACCCCACGTGGGTATTAAACCCGGTACCTCTTCCCAGCTAGGCTGGAAGTCATTGGTATTTTGAAGCTGAATTTTGTAACTAACTTATACAATTGTAATACAAAAACAATTTTATTTGTATTTTGATTGTTTCAAATTCATATATATTTGTTTATGGGTCAAAGGAAAACAATCCCATCTGATATCTTTCAACAGGAAACTCCACCAAGATTTTGGGATGTTTTAAACTCAATTAAATCATATGAATCAACTCTAACCTCTATACCAATTATTAAAACAGGATTAGTATTCAACTTAAAACTGGCACTTATTCAATTCCTTGCTTATTAGAGGAGTGGTACTAAAGTTAAAGAGAAAGCAAAAGAGTTATGTTTTTGTGTGTTTTAGTTATGTTTATTCCTTACATATATATTAAACTAAAAGAAAGAACAAAACATGAAACCAAATCTAGAATAATTAATACTTAGAAAAATGCCCACATTACAATTATGTATTTATTTTTTACTAACCGATGTATAAAGCATTCCTAAAATGCATCGTAAATTATGTAATTGCTTGATATAAAGTCATTACCAGCAATTCCATATTATAAGGGACAAATAAATTAGTTAAAGCAAATTAAATTACTATGACAAAATACTTTCTACAAAGCTTCACTGATTTCTTCTCTAGAAAAAGAAAAAGTTAATAACCAAAAAAAAGAAGCAAAATGTAAACAATGGAAAAAGGAAACATGTTTGGTGTTTGGTAATTTGCCACAAATATGTACTCTTTCTTCATTATAAATAAGAGAGTGAGTGTAACATCATCATTGTAAAGAGAGAATTAGAATTATAATGGACGTAGTTGAAGTATCAGAACACTCGCATCCACTAAAGCTCGTTGATTTGCAGCTACAATATGAAGATGAAGAGGATGAAGAAGAAAAAGTTGAGGGTGGTGATCCAATTATGAAAGAGGGTTGTCGAGTTGCATGTGAGAGGTGTGGTGAAGAAATCAATATGTATCATAGGTACTACTACAAATGTATTATGGCTATGGAAGGTTCTTTATCATGTGATGATTTCTCACTTCACAAATTCTGTGCTGAGCTCCCTGAAAGGTTAGAGCACCCATCACACCCAAACCATACTCTTGGCCTGGTATTATCTTCATATTCATTTTCATATTCACAGTCAGTTTTAGATTCATATTCTGATCCTATATGTATGATTTGTAAGAGACCTCACAAGCCTGGAGAAAGTTTTTACAAATGTTATATACATGATTTCTCCATTGATGTGAAGTGTGCTGTGCAAATAGGAAAAAATGTCATTCATCATCCTTGTCACCCTCACTTGCTGACGTGTGTAATCCCTAAACCCATTTTATGCGAGTGTAGTGCCTGTGGGAGAAGACATGAAGGGATATTCTATCAATGTACTACTTCATGTAATGGTTTCACCATACACAGTGAATGTGTTTTCCAACCAAAAAGTTTGCTAATCCAACAAACCACAGATGATGATTTTCATCATACTCATCCAGTCACCATTTCATATTCATTCCCCTTGATAGATCAAACATTTAAATATTTTCCTAAATGTAGAGTTTGTGATCGGCCTTTTTATGATACTCGCGATATGGAGAATCTTTGGATATACAAATGCTATAAATGTATGTACTATGTCCATTTGGATTGTGCAACATCAAGAAGAGAGCCATTCATGTCCATCTTCTTGTCCGCAGGTAAATAAATCCTTTTATCGATTGCTTTCGTCTAAATGTATTATTACGTGTGGCTTTATTTGACACACACACACACATTAACCAATCTTGTTTTTCTGTTTCCGATTTATTATCAGGCCTTGGAAGAACCATTAAAATTTATGAAGATATTGACCATCCTGGTCTTGTTCATCTCCCATTCCCTGATGAATCTTACAGCTTGCCAAAACACTTGTTTTTCCAACAAATAGATCAGCAACATCATATAGTAGATTACCTAAAACACATGAGTCATAAACACCCTCTGATTTTGGTTGATCAGACACAAAGCAACTCCTCAAAGATTAAGGATTCTTTGTTATTGATGTGTCATAACCCAATGAAAAAGACCCAACTGCTATGCAATGGATGTTTAAAACCAATTATGGCAACCATGCCATTTTACCAGATTGCAAGTTTGTTCTCCATGAGTGGTGCACTCGACTACCCACAGAAATAGAAAACCACCCAGGTCACCCACAACATACTCTGCTTCTCATGTACTCAAATGCCCTTCCTTTATTTTTCGGTGTGTTCGATTGTGCTGTTTGTTATCTGCCTTGCAACGGATTTGCATATTGTTGTGTAGAATGTGGATATTATGTTGATGTTACATGTGGCTTTATACCTAAACAAATCACACATAAATCTCACCCGAATCACCTTCTTTCAATAGTTGAAAAATATGGTTCTTGTCATTTGTGTCGGAGAGCTCATAAACAGTATGCCTGTCGGAGCCTTTTTAACAAAAAAACACTTTTTTTGGTTGCAAAGTTTGTGATATCTATATACATCCAGAATGTGCTTTGTTATTAGCTGAGACAATTAGGCACAAGTATGACAAGAAGTATCCCATGAAGCTAAGTTACTTCCCTATTGAAAACCATAAGAGTGAATATTTTTGTGAAATTTGTGAGCATTATTTGAACCCTCATCAAGCTTTCTATCATTGTCAAGAATGTATTCAATCTATACATAGTTGTTGTGCTCCATTAATACCTCAGCCAGTGGCGGACCTTAGTGGTGCCCAGGGGGTCCCGGGCCACTGCTCTGATTTCGGCACGTAGTGTAAAAAAAATTTTATGTTTTTTCTATTAGATGCACCGGCTTAAAATACGAATGCCACTACTAATTTAGATTTTTTCGGAAAAAAAAATTTAGTGCCACACCTCAGTGCAAGATAGATGCCACCCCCTTTGAGAGAAGCGTTTATTTTTTTGTGAATATAAAGTTTGGGGGCATTCATAATAGTGATGGTCATCCGCATCCTCTCTCCTTTGCTCAAGGTATCGTGTTGAATGATCTATGTAGCATATGTTTTGAGCAATTATTCTGCAAGATGATCTTTAAATGTCTTGAGTGTAAGTTTGAAGTTGATTACACATGTTGTGAGCGTTTGAACAATATATGAAGGTTTTGCTTTCTCTACCAAATACATGCTACAAAACATAATATGTTGTGTAATTGTCATTACTCTTTCTTGTATATCTCCCTCTTTTATGTGTAAGATGATACATTAAGGCCTCGTTTGTTTTTCTACAAAAGTACTTTTTGAGCACTTTTCCCTTCCGTCGGGTAGACGTTTCTCAAGTGCATGTCTTCTTCCGCAAACATGGAAAAAGACAAAAGACATTTAACCACTTCCAAAACAAACAGCACCTAAATAAATTGGAATTCCCTTGTGCATGCTAAATTTTGCAATCCTTTTGTTCATCCCTAAATAATTTATTTCTAATTATGAAACTAGTTAACTGTTCTTATTCTTTCTTATTTTGTTTCGGGTGATTGTTATTTTTGAATGAAAGTCAAATAAATATGAAATTTGGATTACATGTTGCATGATATAATCTTTTGATGCTAGAGTTGTTATTAAGAAAAGGAATAACCAAACCACCTTCTATTTCAGCTTTTACCTCGACAAATATATGAATCAAATTTTAGCCTGTAGGAATCCATTGCCATTTGACTCGGCGATGATCTAGAAAAACCATCCTCCAAATATGATATAAGTTAATGCCTGCTAATCAAATTTTCTTATAAGTTACTAAATAACAACGACCAAGTATGGGAGTATCCTACTGATGACAGAAGAAACCATATCAAACCTGAGAAAAAAAAAAGGCACCAGAATGTTTGAACTTGTTCTACCATTCGGACAATACTAATTCTTTTAGAAAGATTTAGGAACTAAACTTTATCTCGTTTATAGGAAGTGAATGCTTTGCATACAAGTGAAATCAAGCAATAAGATAAACAGAAATACTTTTCCCAAATAATAATCAAGATACTCTTAATATCAGAAAAGAAAAAAAAAAAAAAAAAGGAAACATTAAACATATAATAATAGCAACAAAGTTGATGCCTTGTTTGCAATCTCAGCAAAGAAAATCTCATGATGGTGCCATGTGAATTTTGAAAAATTAAAAGAGCATAGAGATATTCACATCGAAAGACATATATCAAAACTTGAAACTTGCTCCAATTCATATTTTATATCTATATCAAATATTTAAGAAGCCAAATCAGTGTTTAAACCCATTTTTCCAACTAAAACTTTTTGGGTGCATAAGCCACTTAACTTTATATTTTATACTTGTTATTTTGCCAACTAAAATTTTGAGGGTGTGGGAAATTGGGGGTTACGGAGGACTAATGAATTGGGAAATGCTATTCGGGGTACGGTATTGGGTGCTTCAACCACCATGGAATGGTGAATGATATTTGCATTTTTATTCATTATTTGGCACATTTTTCATTAGTTATTGTTGCTTTCTCATGCATTTTTATGTTTTAATTATTTTTATGGCTTTCAAGAAACTTTCTAGTGTTTTGTGATTAACTGTAGAAATTGTGAAGTCGGGTGCGGAACAAGTGATCTCGGGACGTGTGGAAAGATGATTTTGAAGCTTAATGAAGAAATTGTGAAATGGGCTTTTGAGCTTAAAAGATGGGCTAAACTCTTGGTCAAAGCAGGTCAAAGTCGGGGCAAGAAAGGGAGTGTAGGAGAGTCAAAAGTCAAAGTGAGAGCTGAAAGTCAACCTTGCACGTGCCGCGCAAGGTCATTGCAAATTCTATGTGGGCACGGAAGCTAATCAAGCTTTGGTTCTAAATGTTGGTATGATTGTTGTCATTTGTTTCTTAAATTCATAGTGACAAATGATTTGAACAAGATCTTTACTATCTATTTAGGTCATAGCTTGTAATCCTCTAAACTAGTAATCTCAAGCTTTTGAAATTACATTTGGATTTGATGATTCTTTAAACTTAATGCTAATTACCTTATGTAAACTAAGCTTATTTAGTTTAGAATTGTGATTCAGGGGGATTTTGAGAGCTTTCATGATTTTTTTTTTATCCAAAGAAGAATCTGGGTTATTTGAGCTTTTAAATAACTATAGTCAAATTGAAACAAAAAACCATTGCACCATAAATCTTGATGATTAACTAATTACTTGGGATTGTAGGTAAAACTCAATGTTGGTGTCTTTCTCATTTTATATTCTAGAATGTTGATTTAACTTCTTGTCCTGCAAAATACTTTTAATTACTAGTTAGTAGTTCAAACAAACAAACCCCCATTTTTACTTTAAAGTTGATTTTTACAAATGGATTGCGTAGATAAAAACTCACTCAACCTCCTTCTTACTACTATACATAATTTATGAGTTAGATTATTTAGGTTCTTTGTTTGTTGGCCTCAACAACTTTTGAAACATTGCCCGCATATGAACTTTCGACTAGTCATGAGTGCATGATGGACCAACCAACTAGCGCCTAACGACTTTTGAAACATTGCCCGCATATGAACTTCGTCAAGCATGGGTTTTGCATGCTTCACCAGGATGTAACCACATAACTGCTTCAAAATGGATTCTCGCTCTTGGTTGTGTTGCTTTTTAGGTATGGAGTTAGCAAAAAAGGATATAGATATTGGGATCCGATTTTCAAACGTCTTAGAAACTTCTAACATGTTATATTATTGGAACACACGATGTTCTTATCAATCTCCAAATTTCTGAATAAATAACATCTATCTGCTCTTTTTCTTACTGTTAATTTTCTTACCGATGTATATATTCTTTTAACTCACATGAGTCCCTACCCACCATGAATTTTCCCACTGAATCACTCATGCACCCCAAGGCACCTACCACCATCTCCTTAGGACCATGATCACCGGCTTTTTAGTCATCTCTTGAAAACAAGGATCCAAGCATTGCTTTGCCACTGCAACCAAATTGGGGCCTCATTTTTGGTTGTGTTGTTTTCTTGGGTATGGAGTTGCACAAAAAGGATATCAATGTTGAATCGGATATCCAAGCATCTTAGAAACTCCTGACCTATTACATTCTAGGAATAGATGATGTTCTTATTGATCCCCAAAATTTTCACGTAACATCTCCATGGATTACTCCTTTCTTTATTAAGGCATATATGTCCCAGGACTCGCATTAATCTAATACATCATCCACCATGAATTCTCTCTTTGAGTCAGCACACTTACATAACATGGCACCAACCACCTCCTTAAACATTGATCAAACATCGAACCATTTTCAATACTGACTTCCGAGACATCTCATGAATTTGAGGGTCTTAGCACTACTCTTCATGAACCCATCGTTGATGATTTTGGTGTTATCAACATATTTTAGCGTAATTAATATTAATTTTGAGATAGGTTGAGTTCTATTTATTCACTGATGTTGGAGGTAAAGAGTGCATACTCGGAATGATAAATGTAAGCTCGGGAATAACCATATTTCTAACCACCTTTTTTACGCCAAAATATATTTAACCACCCTTTAACTACTTTTCTTCCCTTGATAAAAACATAGTGAATGTTCCATAAAAGGGTTGAATTTTCTCATACTCGAAATTGACCATCCGATTCTCTCTATCTCTCAAAACGCAAAATAGCAAGGTACTTTTTGTGTTTCGAATTTGGAAGTGGCATGACTTCTAAATTGACATTCTTGGATTATTCGAAATCAAATTTCAGGACACCCCAGACAAAAGGGTCGAAATTACAGATTTTAGAAAATGATTGCAATCACGAATCATGAATTATCAAAGTTTATATTGATATTATTAGACCCAAAATCTAACACCCACTTTGGCAACAAGCTACAAAGGACAAGATTTAGGAAACAACCAAACATAGGACATTGTTCCACTTCCACCATAATAGTCTATCATTTGTTTTAAGCAGGTCTACAAAAACTAGGTTGCAATTTAGATGGTATAGTTGATTGATATAAAGCATGCCTCGTTGCAAACAACTTCCATCAAGAGTATAAGATCGACTACAATGAGACATGATCTTTTTACATGAGATACCTTTGTTTGCATGGTGATTGCTATTGCAGTTATCCGTCGTTAGACTCTATACCATATGGATGTCAAAGAGACCTTCCCCAATGGAGATCTAGCTAAGGGTGTTACACGCTACCTCCAAATGGAGTCTATTATCCACCATGCCATGTCTGCATGATTCTGAAAGCTCTATATGGTCACAAATAAGCACCACATGCCTGTTTTAAGAAGTTCAACACCACCAACAGATCATTGTGTTCTCATCTTGTCACCATGATTATGGGTTGTTTACTCGTACCATTGAGGCATGTACCACCCTTCTATATGTGATTGGAAAGACTGTTCATATTGTCCCGATCTCTACCACATATCAACTGGTTGATATCTTAACCAAAGCAAATATGTGGTGCCATTTGTTCTGTTTCCGTTGGGGGTGGATTAGCACATATGTTACGTACTTATTGTATATGGACTATGTATGTATATTTTTTTTGTATTTAACTATTTTTCCTAATTATCAATCATATTGTAATCAATCGTCTTCTTTAATAGATTCTATGTATTCAGCTCTAATCTAAAACTCCAATTCATGAACCCTAACAAAAGTAGTGACAAATAAGTTGTGGAATTACATTATATTACAAGCCTTAAGAATAAATGGCCATCTTTGATAAAGCTTAAGCATTTATCATGTCATATATATTTTACACACACAAAGGACCAAGAGCAGAAAAAAAAAACTTGGCTATACAACTGAAGCATAAGTTAAGAACAATTTCTAACCTTTGTTACTTTAGTGTGTACAAGTAGAACCTCTGTTTGATTCCAGCAGGGGGGGTGTTCTCATTATTTCCCCTCTTCGAGAGCATGTTCTTGCAGCAGAGGGCTGGTTTGGGGAGATGATGATGCTTCATTGTAATGAACACCACCATCTTCTTTTGCTTTTCCCCATAGAACAGCATAGAACCCTAATGATATAATTAGGCCCCCAACAACACTGCACCAAAATTTGAGTTCAATTTTGACACTGAGGAATGATATTTCAATAAAAAGAAGAAGAAGAAGAAGAAGAAGAAGTTGGAATGACCTTCCGAGATGGAGTGAATCACCAAGGAATATGACACCCATAGCAACTGCAATCACAATCGACAATGGCTTGAACATGGCTACATACACAGGTCCTTTCAATCTCAAAGCCCATACTTGAATCAAACCACTTAAAAATCCAGTAGAGATCCCCTATAAACAACAAAACCAAGACTTTCACAAGGACAGAATGTTTAATGTAACAACAAAAAGAAAGTTAGTTTCTTACCATGTAAATTATAGAAGCCAGCATCTTATCAGGTTTTAGTTTCCATGCATCCAAATCTCTCACCATAATCAACCCTGCAAAGGCTGCTACAATCATTCCACTTAACCCAAAGATGAAAACAACCATTAGTTCCACTGGATACAGGATCATGATTTGTGCCTACGTACAGGGTTGCTGAAAACACTCAAGTTTGCTATAAATAATAAGTATTATGCTAACATTAGAAATTACAATTTTGGTACCTGAGAAACCAAAACAAATGAAAGTAGGAAATTTTGACTTGCAAGTAAAATTCCACCAATAATCCAATATAAGCTTGATGAATCAGATAACATGGTAACTGATGGGCCATTATACAGTGTTGCTACCAGTGCACCAGATATTGACACTACAGTTCCCACAATTTTTGCTTGGCTGCTATAGCTTCGCAAATTCAGTTGTTCCACCCTACAGACCAAAAAAAAAATAATTGCTTTTGAAACGGAAGTAAAAGAGAAAGACTTGATGACAAAATTCTTTCATGTTTTCTGGTCATAATGTGCAGAATTAATGATTTTGGAAGAGTGCCTGAAGAAGAATGCAAGAATGAAGGTGAAAGCAGGTGCCAGATTGCTCATAACTGAAGAAAGTGTTGGAGAACTGTACTTGATACCAACATATCCAAATATCTGAGACATGTATCTGCAATTTACAGCATTTCAATCATTATATTGATGATTGAATCGAAAATAGAGAACAACAATCAAGACATGCTAATATGAGTAACCTACAGAAGAAACCTGTAATCACAGGGATGTATGAAAGGGAAATAAAGAGATATAAGACAGCAGAAGTACATTTTGACATGAAGTACAGCAGAAATATAGATCCAATTTACCTGTACAGCTGAGGTTCCTGAGTTTAAGAATCATAGCTAACATAAGTGTGAATTTCTGTGTTTCTTTTTAGTTGTCTTATATCCTACTTGAATTGGAAATGGTACATTGTTTAATTGCAAAAATTGAATTCTTTTACCAAATCCGCGCATTGCAATTCCTGGAAATTCAGGTCAATGCTTATAAAAGATTAGGGTTCCACCAACCCTTGATACTAGTAGACTAGAATATTCCTCCTCCCAAGTCCCAATTAATTTGAAAGAGTCAAAATAGCAAATTCAACAAATTCTAAAGATGGTAAGACTCAGATCAAGTTGGTTTACCCAATCAAGCTAAGAAGGAAAAGCTTGGCAACAATGGCGAACTTCAGTGGCGGGATGCTTGATTTTCTGCACAAATTGAAACAAGAAATTCAATTCGAACTAGAGGTTCCTGCATAATAGGGAATTAACGAGCTATAATAATTAAAATTGCCTGCGGACGATGAATGGACAAGGCAAGAGGAAAAGGAAGCCGACAAGGAAGACATAAGTGGTGAAAACGTATGAATTTATCTCTTGAGAAGTTGCCGATTTAAATAATGTGTTTCCGCCTACAATAATGCATTCGATCAGCATCATTGCTGAAAATGGCAATACATCATTGTAACAAGTTCTACTCATCTCTGATCTCTGTGTTTCCCCCTTGATCTCTGCGACTGGAAAAGGGAGATCTGGAAGGATTATCTAAATGTTAAGAGAAAAACTTCACCAAACTCCTTCTATGACCTATCCGATGATCCAGAGTTGACTGAAGTGTTACCGGTGAAATTGAATTATCCGGGAAGATGCGGGTTACAACGGCTAGACCATACGACTCGTTTCTTCTGTATTATCATGCGGAGTAATTCATTGACTCATGGGGCTGCTAAATATTTTTTAATTTGAATAGAGAAGCCTGAAATAAAAACCAAACATATTATTTTTTATCTTTAGAAAATAATTAAACTATCTTTATGAGATAATTATATTACTTTTATATCTGTTAAAACAGTTATATCTTTTTATGTGGTTAAAATTAGTGTTTCATTATCGGATAAACATAAGAGATGTTTTTCAGGATTAACCGGAATCTCGAATGTCAGGCTGGTTAAAAGCTGTTCGATGATGGCTGAATCAGGCTTTCTAGAATGTAAGGGTTCGAAAAGTCAGTTCAAGGGCTCAAATCCTGATATTCTATGCTTGAGGAATGTCTTTGCGGATGATATGCTAGCAGAAATCGTCCCATGTTCATTGTTTTTCCTGAGAGAAAGATGGTCTCGAAGCACACTCTGGTTCGCGCCAATCCCTTCACTCCAGTAATCCATACCCGGACGTCGGCGATGGCGTATTCCTCATCCCATGATCCTTTCCCATGTCGTGGAAGTGAGCTCCTTCATTCTTCATAACGACTATAACCAAGCTGCCAACCAATAAAGCAAGCACCTTCATGGACTGGAAGCTCCGTTAGCACCTTAAGGTTGTCTTTATCCTGAGAACCCTCGGGAATATTCTGAGACTCAGCTAATGCTTCTAGGCCCACATTCGGAGACAGACCAAACACCTCTCTTACCCACTCACTATCTAATAAACGTCTCGTAGTTGTAGACTTGAAGTTGTAACTTTTATACAGAAATGTTTGAAAAAAAGTAGATGTAGCTTATGAAGCAGTTTCTAAAAGGTCTGAAAAAATAAAGGCTATTTGAAATAGCTTTTGAATTCACAACTTTTTGTTTAAAATAAAATCTAAAAACTCATGTCGTGAAACAAAACTTTTTCTTTTCGAGTTTTTCTTAAAAAACTAAAAGTTAAAAAAACTCTATCCAATAACTTAAATTAAAAATCTTATGTCAAATATTATATCTATGTTGGTAGTGGTTTTTTGGAATATCAATTAATGTTTCTAGAATTTAATAATATCATGTAATATCTTTTTAGTTCTATATAGGCTATGCAATCGATATCTATGTTCAAGCAGTTACTAAACAAACACCTACTTTTTTTATCTATGTTAATTTGAGGCCAAAAAAGAAATAAAATCTATTTATATAATATTTCTTCCTAACAAATAGCACTTATTTGTATAATATCTTATCCAAATAGCAGTAAAAAATAAACCATCAGTTATTTTATTAGTTTCAAATGGATGTATAACAAAGACTTTATTTGGTGTTTACTAGATTGGATTTTGGGTTTTTTTTTCTTAAATAAAAAAGTTTAAGTAACTAATTTTTTTATAACATGGAAGAATTTGTTAAGATTCAAAAGAAAAAGATATTCAAGTCAGCAAAAGGGCATTTTAGTTTGCATGATAGTTTGAAAAGAATTATATTTGGAAAATTGAATTTAAAAAAATAAAATATATATGAATTATAATTAATAATACCTTTAATTACCGTCGTTCTAAAAAAATAAAAATAATAAAAATAAATAATACCTTTAATTAACAAAAAAAATTAAAACGAATTAATTTCATTCTATTGCTTGGTTTACATATTGGAGATTTGGAGTCCCAATTCCAATTTGATCAAAACTTTCAATTCCGGTAGCCAAACAAAGAAAATAAGTATTTAGTATTTACAGTTTTACATCTTTTAATTTTATGAGTAAAATTATAAAAGTTTTCCGAATAGATTCAGAGATTATAGCCCATATTAATATGGCCCATTTAAGCAGGCCCGCATCCTTCCGAATTACCAAATAGACAGGCGTCGATGTACGATGTTAAAACCCTGGAAACTAGGGTTTATAGTTTAGGGATTTGATGTTTCAGCTATAACAACATCAATGGAGGGATTGAAGGTATCTGATGCCGAATTGGTGCTGTATTTACATCCCTCAAAGTCCAAAAATGTGTCTCAAGCCATCTTCGGTGAACTAAGTTCAATGCTTTTCAAGTAATTCTTCTTCCTTTTGATGCATCTTATCGAACTCGAGTACTTTGTTTTTCATGTCATTGTACACAATTGGGGGGAAATAATATCGATTTATATCTATACTTAAAGAAGATTAAACCGATGCATGTACATGCATATAAACTGAACTTTTAGGCAGCTCTGTTTGTCACAGAAAGCCATGTTTTAAATGATGATCTGAATGGATCAATGATTTTAGATGTTGTTATTATATAACACAAGTCCGTTTAAGGAAGATAGGTTCATATCATCAGTGTTATTATATGGACTTGTTTTTGTAGGTTCAATGAAACATTCGATGGTGTTCTGTTGGCTTACAGTGCTTCTACTCAAAAAGAGTTGGCAAAGATTCTTCCAGGCTTGAATCCTTACTTTGGTGTGAGACTACAAGCACAACTCTTACTTTTCTATCCAAAACCAGATATGCTTTTAGGTACAATCCACTGATAGCTCTCATGATATGTAACATTGCTTATATTTACCTGATGCTAGATTCTTGTTTTGTTTCTTAAATATCCCAATAATCATTTTTACAGAAGGAAAGGTGGTGAAACTTGCAGAACAGTCTATACACATTGTTGTTCTTGGTTTCTCATCAGCAACCATTATAGAAGAAGATATTCGTGAAGAATTTAGTTACAAAGTTGTAAGTGAAAGGCTATTATTGTGTTTGAAAAGATCCCCTCTTTTTTTTCCATCCACTCAGGAATAAGTTGTGGTGAAATTGCAAAACTAATGCCAACAATACTTTTTGAAATTTTCTTGTTTCAGAAACATGGGAAGGAAGTATATGGTAGCACAGTTAATAAGCGCCATAAGATAGAGATTGGAACCATTCTACGTTTTGTTGTCAAGAGGTGATAAATTCTTCTTTTTTTTTTCAAGTTATGTTTTTTCTTCATAATCAAGTTTATGCACAGCAACATTTTTTGTTGCCTTGAAGCTTTGGTAGACCTTTCTGAGACTTTTCTTATTCTTGTACTAGTTTGGATTGTATGTGATTTTTGGGCATTTACATTTTGATTGCTACAGAAATTTATGTTTTTCATCCAACTTATGCAAATTCAGTCAAATTTATAAATGACCTGACCTTGAAAGTTGATTCTAGTTTTGATGAGGAAATACTTCATATATCCGGATCATTGCTTCCAAATCACACAGGAAGTGTTAGCTGGTTGGATAAACCTGCAGAAGAGGCACATACTGAGAGGTTATTTTATTAACATGTTATAAAATGATTTTTGATTTGAATAAGCATCAAGTTTTTTTGACATTATTATTAATTATTTGGCTCCAGTAATACCAAGAAGAGGAGAGAAGTTGAAATGCAGAATGACAAAGTGTCAGAGGATTCATTTGCTGATAAGCATCGGGTGAAGAAGTCAAAGAAGAAACAACACAGTAGAAATGGCATGTGAAATATTTTCATTGAATTGTTGTGATTTGTAAGCAAGTAGGTAATTCTTGAGGGGGTATATGTTGGTACAGCAGTAGTTAAATGATGAGTTGGATAAAATTCAATGCCATGTATGCCAATTTTTGTATTGTTGTAGTTGATGGTAGTCTCCAGCAAAGTTGCTAATTTTAAAATTGCCACTAAACTCTTCAATCAATACGAATGTAATGTCGGCTCCCAAAGAAAATAATGTTGTTTTGTGGAATTCTGTTTAAGATATCTGTTTCTTTTGAACACAAGTAAAACAAAGTGCATCGTAAATGGTAATGGTGTATTAACATTCATCAAAGGCAAAGAAATGTCTCTCAAGCCATCTTTAGTGAATTTCTACACCATTGGAGGAAAATAGTATCGAATATCACAACAAGAAATATAACTTTTAGGGGCGCCACCATTAGCGACGACATGTACCTTTAGGGACGACATCTGATAATTCGCGTTTTTGTCGTCGCTAAAGGTCCCTGCCGCCGCTAATAGCATCGTCTCTAAAGGGTGGTACCGGCGATCCGTCTGAATGCCTCCGGATCAAGTCCTGGCCCTAAGATTACATCTTGATCCGACGGATGGGGTTAACGAAAAAATTGGCGCGTGTTTTCTCTCCAACGTGGCGCCGCTAATGGTTAAATCGGCGTCGCTAAAGGCGCGCCCCTAAAGGGTCACCTTTTTGTTCCCCTCCAGGTAGCAGATCGAGATCAGTTGCCACATCCACTCCATTTGTCTCTCGTTCTTCCGGCAATTTCAACGCTTTTCCGGCGACTGTAGACTCGTTTTGCATCTTCCATCGACTATTAACCACCGGTGCACCCCACTTCTTCAACCAGAGTGATTTCCAGCTCCTCACTGGTGTACCTGCTCCACCGACGACGTTCTGAGTTCCCGACGTACTTCTCCACCGACAAAGGTTTGTTTTCCTTTCTGATTTCCACCGTTTTTTGTTTTTGTTTCAATTTCTTTTTTTTCTTTCTTTTTTTTTTCTAATTTTACTGCTTTTGGTGGTCTTAAGGAGACACCTGAGTGTTTCCTCTAATTCACTCAAACCAAGGCTCTGATACCAACTTGTAACATCTATAAAATTCGAGCCAATTTAAAACTTTTTAAAACATTTCAAAACACATGATTATTACAAACTTGTTTTCAAAATAGTATATTGTCAGAGTATCCCATAATCAAATCATAAAATCATAAAATGTGAGGAGCGGTACGATCACGCATTCGTCTTCCCGCGATCATCAGAAGTACCTGAAACAATAATCGATAAATGTAAGCTCGAAGGCTTAGTGAGTTACCCCCAAAATACCAACGTCATACAGTCATAATCGTATCATATAACATAATAGCAAACAGCATGCATAATGAGCCATCAGTATGACTAGACCAAATCCCGGTCCTCAGTCTATCTGGACCACTCTCCGAGCCCTCGGCACGTCTGGACCGCCCTCCTCGGGGCCTTCAGCCTATCTGAACCGCTCGCTGGGCCTTCGGCCTAACTAGATTTGCCCGGCCCGGGCCTGCAGTCTACCCGGTCCGCCCAGGGTGTCTTGGCCTACTGCATACAGCAGGACCTGCCTCAACCCTTTCCCCAAACCAACAAACATGTGTACATACATATAAACAAGTAAACATGCATATCTAACAGATCACTAACATGGCAACCATCCTATAACCAGTATACCGATCTAACCGATCTCTAGCATAGCAACCATCCTAAACCAGGATGAAATCTAACATAGCAACCATCCGAAACCAGGATGTAATCTAACATAGCAACCATCCTAAACCAGGATGAAATCTAGCATAACAATAACATAGCAACCATCCCAAACCAGGATGTAATCTAACATAGCAACCATACTAAACCAGGATAAAATCTAACATAGTAGTAACATAGCGACCATCCTAATTCAGGATGTAAATCATAAACGGTCGGCCTTGATGCTGTAGACCCTGTTGATATAGTGAGGATAACTCACCTCCCAAATGTCGCACCGAAGTGATAGGCTCAACTCTCGAATCACCAACACGAACTCCACCACCTATAGTAACCATAAAACCCTTTTCCATAAATTTCCAAATTACCAAAATGCCCCCAGAGGTCGACTGGTCAACCTTTGGTCAAAGTTAAAGTCCACAGTCAAAGTCAACAGTCCATGTTGACCCGAATAGTCGAGTGTAGTTCACCAACTCGTCGAGTCCTTCCTGAACTCGAGAAGTCGTGAAATCTTTGGTTGACTCGTCGAGTTCCCCTATAACTCGTCGAGTTCATGCGTGTCCAAAGGTTGGGAGAAACCCTAGACGACTCGTCGAGTCATTCGACTGACTCGCCGAGCCCTAAGCAATCTTCATCGGACTCGCCGAGTTGTTCATCCAACTCGTCGAGTACAGGACCATCTTCATGTGGCTCGCCGAGTTGACTATGCAACTCGCCGAGTCCCTTCAGAACTTCATCCATACAGGTACTTTTTAATCCATGCAACGGCTCCATATTGCAGATCCAAGCTTCTAAGGCATGTTAATCATGTAAAGTTGCAAACTTTACGTGCATGCAAGGCCCTAGAGACTCTAAATGGCCAATCTAAGCTTCTAATTGAGCTTTACACCTTAGGAGAGTCTCATTCTT